AAAAGACGTCTTTTTAAATGAGTTTTTAAATTTACTTTAAATGTAAGTGTTTAGCAAAGTATGAATCATTTATTGGCTATTTGTTTGCAAAAAAGGTGAATAATATGCACTAGTTTTGTATGATAGGAAAACTTTTTAAAGTTATTTAAGTAATGATTTAAGTTATGATTTTAATTTACACGATATTCAGCGCAAATATTACATATGAATTGTGCCACTTTTTAGTCAAATTAAATGTTCAATGCTATAACTTATACGGCGCCTAATAGGCCATAAAATATCTCAATAAACAATAACTTATTTGTATTCACTGATACCTGTGTGAGCTTTCATAAACTACAGTATCATTAACCAAAAGTCATACACTAAATATACTGTGGCTGATAAGAAAGCACTATTTCTTATATGGATTAATAAGATAAGCATCGAAATTGAAAATACAGGTGAATCTCGATAGGCAAAAAAGTGAAAATTAAAACAATTTTTTATGTGCTACGACGGTGGCCCAATTGTTTAATGGGGTGTATATCGAGGTGGGGGTCGCAAGTTCGATCCTCATTGGCGGTATAATTGTGCACAACTTTCAATATTTGTTCAAATGGCCTGGCCAAACTTTTTTTAATTTAAAATGTTTATATAAATGAGATTCGCCTGTATTTTGAGTTCCGATGCTTATCTTTTTAATCCATATAAGAAATAGTGCACCGTTATCAGCCACAGTATATGTGTAAGCCTAAAACCATTTAAAGGTTTTTGCCATGTAGCGTTTACTGTATATGAAATATTTATTAAACTTCTATCATACTTTTATAATGAATAAGTTTAATAAAAGTATGATATAATGGGGTGTATATCGAGGTGGGGGTCGCGAGTTCGATCCTCATTGGCGGTATAATTGTGCACAACTTTCAATATTTGTTCAAATGGCCTGGCCAAACTTTTTTTTTAATTTAAAATGTTTATATAAATGAGATTCACCTGTATTTTGAGTTCCGATGCTTATCTTATTAATCCATATAAGAAATAGTGCTTTGTTATCAGCCACAGTATATTTCAGTTTATAGCGATTCATTAAAGATACTGTAGAGTGTATTGATGGACACAGGCGTCAGTGTCTGAGCACTTCATTCTCTTAACTGACTATACATTTAAGCAATTCTTGACACAAATGAACTCAAATCAAAGGAACGGCAGAAGAGCTGACAAACAATTTTTCATCACTAACTCCATGGGAGAGACAATACATGAATGCTTTGAGAGTTGCATTAAAATAGAAATAAAATAGACATCTATTTAGTTGTAGTTATGAGTAGTAATATAGTGCACAGAAAGATGATAATAAAAATAACGAATAAAAAGGAAATGCTTGTAATCCATACAATTATACAACTAAATAGTTTGAAATGTGCTACGGGTTTATTTTAAATATTTGTATTCTTTGTAAGATTTGAACTAAATTTGATATTTAATATTAAAAAGTAACATTGTGGCTATGTTATATAGAAATAGTAAGTAAAAAATACAAAATGATAATAATATTCAAAATAAATTATTTGTTCAGAAATTAAATTTTAAAATTAGCACTCAATTTCCGTCAAATAATTATTCAAAAGAAAATTAAATTTTAAAATTCAATTCGTTTACAGTTTTTTAATTTCAATATTTACATAAAAACTATTTATTTTTGTATTTACTTATTTTGAGGAAAGATTTGCTGAGTTTTATATTTTGATGACTTTGATGTGACAAACGTTATGTAAATTAGATTTTGCTTAAATTTTTAAATAAATGAATTGTTAATATAAAGACTCTGAAGTCAAAAAAAAATATTCAAAACAAATACTGTCATATTTATCTTATAATATTTTATTTCTCAATAATTTTTAGGAAAACTTTTAAGCTATTACAGTAAATCATTAAAATGAGGTTAAAAATATAAAATATTGTTTTGATGTGTTGAGCAAAATTTTGTATTTTATAAACAATAAAACATTTTTAAAATATTGAACAAATGATTGAAATAATTGTTGTTTAGGAGTATTACTAATGTCTGATATGAGAGAGACGAGCGGACATACTGTGGACACGAGCGACCATTTATTGGTCAACACGACTGCAGACATTCAAAGCAATGACGAGCGAAGACTCGTTGACTATTTGATGAGGAATTACGACAACAGTATCCGACCCGTCAGAGACGCCTCCACTCCCGTCAACATTAGACTCGGAATCACTTTAACACAAATATTTGATCTCGTAATCAATTCATACTGTGCTATATTTGCAAATTGATGCTGATCAATGATTATTATGCATTTCTATTTGATAGGATGAAAAGAATCAGGTGCTCACCACCAATGTATGGCTTGACCAGGTAGTGTTCATTATTATTATAAAATTGGTACAAACAGTAACATTACACCAATTAAAACCGTAAATAGATTTAAATTTAATCAATATTATTTCCTATTATAATAATTGCATTGTGTTTGTTATAAAATAATAGTATAAATCAATTTAGCCTGTAGAGTACAACCATTATCCTTATAAACATTATAGTATAATGATTGTACTACAATGTCTAGTAGTGTATGATTATAAGTTATTTACTAAAAAATTTATAGATACTTACACTATAAGGTTTATTATATAATAGTAATGAAAATACGGTAATAAATTTTACCTTTTGTTGATCTGAAATAATTCTGGCTTGTCATGTAAGTTATTAAGTTTTGAATAATATAATTAATATTTGTTAGTGTTATGTATTAACAAATATTGAAACAGCTATAATGATTATAGTATAATCTAATAGCACCTTAATATTCTGTTAACTATTTGTTGATTTTAAATATTGTAAACACAATGCTATTTGTATTAAGGAATGGATCGATGAGTTCATGTCGTGGAGTCCATCAGATTTTGGAAATTTAACTAAAATACGGATTCCTTGCGAAAAGATATGGAGACCAGACATTGTTCTTTATAATAGGTATGTTATTCACTAATGTCAATTTATTTGCAAACTCATACAATCCCATTATCAATTATTTTTATCACAACCTATTTATATTACTGTACTTCCATTTGATCGTCAACGTAGAGAAAACCGGTATGTATTTTTCAATGCAAACTGTATTTATAACCAAACCATAGTATTGATAGTATAAATCATTGAGTTTCACTCATTTCAAATTATGTCAACTAGTGATGTATATACTTAATTCATTTTTAGCGTTAAACAAATTATTTATACAACTATTCAACACTAGTTATTTAAACCTTTATAAGTTTTAGTCATAAACATTAAAAAATAAAACAGGTGAAAAATATTAAAAGTTTTTAATCATAAAATGAGCATATAATCAAGTTTAAATTATTTATTTTATACAAATGAATGTAGTTTTAAAGGTGTACTTTTACGATTAATAAACATTGAATCTAAACATTGTTTGAACATTAATATATTAGTAATTTTCAATGTCTATTAAGTTTATTATGACATAAATAACTAAGGCTCTTAAAAATTTATAAGTTTATCAATTATAGGTGATTAGGCTATTAGTTTATCATCCCTATTTTTAGGTGATTTTAACTTTTGGAACTCAATGGTATACATGTATATGTGATATACTATTAATATTATGATTATGTTATGTAGACAGTTTGCATTGAAAAATACATACCGGTTTTCTCTACGTTGACGATCATTTATTCTACATTCATTTTGTTTATTTTAATTCATTTCATTAATCAAAATTAAACAATGCTATTTATTCAATATTATTAAATGGTCTAGGTAAATATATCTAGTAATACACTTTGTACCTACGATGCACACTGGAGCCATTTGGGGCCACACTACGAGTGGTGACAAGACTTTAAATATTTTAACATAAATCTCTATACTGACTCATGTTATAATATTCACTGTTTTGTACCTGTTAATGTGGCCCGGATTACAATGTATGCGCATGGTAGCTATGCACGATAGACATATAGGAAGGGGTCAATTTTAAACCAATATTTTATGTACAATTTATGAATGCTTATTTATTAAATCTTTCCTTGATATTTATTGTTTACTTATTAACTCATTATTCAGAATATAAAGGAAAGTAGTCTATTGGAAGATACATGGAAATTGCAATACATACAACATGATATCTTATAGCAGTGATGTTTAGGCGTGCTACTTTTGTTGTTTATATCACAAGTATAGAAACAACAGTAGTTCAATACAAAATACATATTAGGCTACACATAATTGGTTCAGAAAATTGTTATAAAGTGCAAACATTAAGTGACGTATTGTAGCTGATTACGCAATCAAACACCACTGCTGTATAGTATTGATTAAATTTGTCAACATTTGTACGAATAGTGCTGACGACTACACGCGAGGGTATATGAATAGTCGTGCGATGATAGAGCCCAATGGGAACGTGTTTTGGCCGCCGCCCACTAAATTCCGGAGTACCTGTCCGGTCGATGTCACGTACTTCCTAGTTCAATACAAAATACATATTAGGCTACACATAATTGGTTCAGAAAATTGTTATAAAGTGCAAACATTAAGTGACGTATTGTAGCTGATTACGCAATCAAACACCACTGCTGTATAGTATTGATTTAAATCAATATCGCCATATATAACTAATATTTTAAAAATTAAAATATCAATTCTTATGTAAAATAATCTCAAAAATCGATTGGTAATAATATAAAAACCATACGAATAACGGTTTTCCCATAAATAACGATTTTTTACATTTTTGGAAGTTTAACGCCCTCTAGCGTGAAAACTATAAACAATTTGACAAAATAAATGCCACCATTCGATTTCTCATCACATTTTACATCATATTCAATTAAAATACCTATATCGAATTTTTCAAGTTTTCGTTCTCGATACAACCATAGGCAGGGTTTGGCAAGGTTCTTTCTATACGACCTAATATGATTAGTATTTTTGGGTTTAATAGCATTTCTTGCTAACCTTGTTTTAATATAAATAAATTACTTTGTATTCAATAACCATTTGTTAGTCGATTATTATTTTATTCATTATTATCTTCAAATATTCAAATACATTATACAGTATTTTGTAAAAATATTTATTATCTAGATAGTAGCAAGAATAAGCCGAGTAATGTTAAGTCAAATACAAATGTTTGTATATCACCGGATTCATCTAAAGTCTTACATGGATTACGAGTGGCAATTTCAGTTTTTATATTAATAGCTCATTATGGGTTTCTACTATTTAAAAGCTCGTCCGCTAATTTTATGATGTACAAAAATCTTCCCGAACATTTGTAGTAAGTGATAAACATTTCAACTAATTTATTCTTTCCTTGGTAACTTACGTAACTTACGGTACCCTATGGTATTTATCGTGTGTTATTATTTCATCACTTATAAATATTTTCACATAACATTGTTGAACAGTAAATAAGAAACAATTTATTTTACTTTAAAATAATATAATAGTAATAGAATTGTTAATTAGATTCTTAAATTCATTTATTTTGAAAAATTACTTAAATTTATATAAATTTTCAAGTTACTAGCCTAATAAATTATTAGAGTGAGTTGTAGATATTATACCAATAGGTGTCGGTATCAATGGGTTGGTTAGTTATTTTTAGTTGTATGTTACATGTAAGTTAAGGTAAGTTACAAGGGCTTTCATCTCTTAAGCTATCACTTAAGCAATACAATAAAATTAAGCTATCTAAATTAATCATAAATTTTTTAATTTAAACAAATGTTTATACGATTAATGTAATTTAGCCTGGCAGTGTTTGTATTGCCAATTGCGGCAATATACTCGACTTATTTTCTTGCCGGATTATCAGCAACAATGTGGTTTATTAACAAGCTACGAACTGAACCAAACAAATCAACCAGCAAGCTAATTTTACAGTTCTATATAGGCAGATTATCTATGATTTGTCCCATTTATTACTTGACTCTATATTTTTATATAATATTTATAAAGTATTTCATTAGCGAAAAATATTATGACGAGGGTGTCAATGAAGCATGTGAACAAAATTGGATCTGGAACGTTTTGTTTGTTTCCAATTATATCACGTCTGATAAAATGGTACAAAATATTCACTTAATTGTAAATACTCATTTCATAAACTAAAGTAAATATTTAAATTGATATAACAATATTCTACAGTATAATATTATTTATTTTTATACGCTTTTCTGTTAGGAATAAAATGCGTATAAATGTACTAGAATATAATCACCAGGGAAACCTCCCACTCTATCTCAAAGCAAAATAAAACTACAAATATTCAGTCGAAAGCTTAATATTTAAGATTACAACAATGAATCATTATTAATGATACATAACATTGTTGTGAATCTATCAAATAACTGTTTCAATTTAGTTTTAAATTAAATGACATTATTGTTGCTTTAATCTATAGTGTATGGTATGGAGTTGGTCACATTGTGCACTTGTTCAATTATCACTTGTTTCTCCCCTATTTATAATATCAATTATAAGGTAAATATAAATTTATAAATCATAAAATAATTAAATAATAATTAATAAAATATTAAATAAAATATTTTTTAAATATAAACATATAAACAAGAAATTGTCGAATTGGTTTATCTATATTACTAATTGGACATGTGGCATCTATTTGTATTCATTTTTATATTATTATATCAAATGGATATTCAAATTTTGCATCATTTAATATTTTCACATTTAACAAGAACTTGTTCAATTATTTTGCGTGAGTATAAGCCTTAAAATAAATTGTTTTAATGTTCGTAATGTTCACATGTTTAATAGCTAACAAAAAAATTGGATTATAGTATTTTCAAATGTTTTACCAAATTATAAATACAAAGTATAAAAAGTATTATTGTTATATTTTATTTTTGAAAATAGATTTATAATTTATAAAATAGATTAATATTTAATCATTTTTTAACTAGTGTATAAACTTTAAAAGGCGTGCATACAATTTACAATAACATTTGCTTTAAACTTATTTTATTTTAACTATCTGCTTGCTAATTTATACAGTATATCAATCTTATCATAAAAATAATATTATATATAATTTTGAAATAATATTTAATGTTGTTTACTTAGTAGTTGCATTTTACAATTTATGTGTACAATTTAGTTTAGTGTGTATAAGATTAATATAAACGTATCTATCCTTTCCTCCCTTTCCTCGCTTTATATTTATACCTTCGCTGCCCTACCCTTTACTTCCCGGTGTAGGCTTTCCTGTATTGTAGAAAACACCTCCTTATTTGCAATAAACAGTATACATTTATTAATATATTTAAATAACTTAATATCTGGTTCAATATATCGGATGAGTCCTTTGATCGATACCATTCCCTGTGTTATAACAACCATTTGTGTGGTATTTGTTGTCGATATCTACTCCAAGCGAGAGATGGTATCCGTGTATCTGTTTGTCTTCTCCTTGGGCTCCCTTAACATCCAATCCATAGGCCATATAATAAGCATATGTTTCGGGAGGAAAGCCCCTGTAGTCGCTATATTCGTCTTTCCATTTATGGCGCTATTTAGCAACTTTTTCTCACCCGTCCGGTCCCTCCCGAAGCTCTACGAAATGGCATCCAATCTCATGATTACGACCCAAATTTTTGAGTATTTAACGGTTTATATGTATGGCTTCGGCCGGTGCTCTGATATACAGATGTCATCCGTTTTATACAAATATGATTTAAATGACAGAGACTTTGATAGGAGTTGGCGACTATTGATCTTTCAGTTGGTTTTCTATAAGATTATTTCATATTTGGCGCTTAAGCTTAAAGTCAACTTACATGCCATTCAAACATGGATTTGAAAATAGTTTTTGAATATAAACTTATTATTTAATTTAGAATATAGACAACAATAAAATTATATACATAAATACAATTATATTTATTATATTAATTGAAATTAACTAGAAAAGCCTATTTATCAATTGGCTACATGTTAACCTTGTTAATTAAATAAAATGATTGTGAACTAATAAAAATTAATTAGATTTTAAAAATTTTGTAATTTACAAAAAAAACATCATTTATTTTACAAAATATTTGTACAATTTTTAATTTACCATTTATTCTAACCAAGTGTGTCCGGAATATATTAATAAAATGCACTTCATTTCACTGCTTTAGCATGGTAGGTAATGTATAAATAAGAATTGCAAACAATGTCATAAAACCCTCATTTACATTTAAGCAAATATGGGATACATTTAATATACATTAGCGGATAAAATAAATTTAAAAAATAAATACTCCGTAACTGATAATGCAATCAAAATCCTCTATTCACCGTTTTATATCCCCAATTATACCTGGTTTGTAAACATATTTTTTATTTATTCTAAGATTGTGGACTTGGATTGAGGACTGTCTCATTTTATTTATGATTATGATGTCAAATGATTTATGTATATTTATTTATGTGAAATTGAATTTAATCAACGAGTATTATTATAATAAACATTTGATTTGATTTAAATTGTAATCATTTAAATATAATTCTTAAATTTTTTTGAATTTTAGCGCCAATTCTGTGGCAAATAACATATTTACTAGACTTTGCGGAACCTATTTAACTTTCATATAAATTTACAAACTATTAGTTATATTGTACAATAAATATGTTAAACTTTGTACAAATTTATTTCATACAAGGGTGTCCAGGTAGATCAACTTGTATACAGTAGTAGTTTTGTTTATTTAGTAAATTTTTCCGTTCTATAAAATTAATTGAAGTTGTATTGATATAAATGATTTAATTATACCTTAAATAATATCTTGAACATATACTTGTTTTATTTTAAAATAAAATATTTTATCATTATTTATGTAATAAAATTAAATGATTAACATATGGATAGTACAGATATGCTGATCAGTCAAATCAAATGTGAGAGATTTATTTAAACATACTTTAAAATTATTAATATAAAAATCATTGATTATCAAAATAAATGCATTCAAACTTAGTTTTATAGGAATTCAAAGATAGTTATCATTTAATTGTTTAATAGGAATACTGGTATCGAAGGGGCGGTTGGTTTGGGTCGACGGTGTGGTCGATCCGGAAGTGAACATAAGGGGAACCGCTGAACATGTCATTGATTTGTGAGGTCTGTCTCTGGGGACCGGTATTAGCTTGAAATCCTGTATTTGCCGATTGAGTGGCTGTTTGTTGGGACCAATTGTTTTGAGCGCCTGTACTCGCAAACTGAGACGGGTTTGACTGCCCTATTGGTTGCGCCCAATTAGGCGGTGCCTGATTAGGAAACGGTGGTATCGGTGGCTGACCTCCCGATATAGCCGATTGTGATTGCAATGATGGTTGTGACGGTTGGTTGGGCTGATTAGGCGGCGCTAAGTCTCCGATGCGAGCGACTCGTGCGGGCGATTGAGGCCATTGTGGGGATCCCTGGGCTGGGAATGGGTTGTATTGGCTGCCAGTGTCTGGCGATTGGCCTCCAGTTTGTATGAATTGATTTTGTGGTGACTTTTGTTGCGATCGTTGTCTCCACTGATCGGCAATAGATATGGGAGGCGGCGCTGGTATGGACTGAGCGCCTGAAGTTTGCGTCTGAGGTGGTGGTGACCATTGACCAGAGGTCGGCGCTATTTGTTGTGGCGTTTGTTCCCAATTTGGTTGACTCGGCCACTGACCGGCGCTGGAAATACCCGTCCATTTCTCTCGCAAACTATTCACGTCCTGTTGAGCACCGGGTGTCGGCCCCTGTAGTCGCGATATATCGTCAGCGGTTGTCTGTGGCCACTGAGCTGGGGGTGGGATTTGTGGACTCGTTTGCGACCTCTGGTCTGAAATGGGATTATCCCTGAATTGCGTGAACTGTCCGGTCGTCGGGTGTTGTGGCGGTTGAGACCACTGGCCGGCTGTCGGCCCCTCCGATGGCGGACTCCATGACTGATCCGGTGGTGACTCTATCTGCCGCCGTTGTGTCCATTGCTTTGTCGGTCTGTTTGGTGACTGACTTTGTTGCCAATCGTGTTGTATCCGCGATGTCCAGCCCTGAGCACCTGTATTAGACTTCTGGGGTTTAGTCCACGTCTGTTGGTCTGAGTTCCAGGTATTCCAGTCCACAGAACCCCCGCCACTGACCCCCCGATCACTGTTCGGCCAATTGTTGCCATTGTTTTTATCCCAAACCTGTTGTTTGTTGTCATCCCACGCCCTATCCCTGTCCGCCGGTGCCTGTGGGACAGGTCGTGGCAGAGGTTGGGATTGGGTTGGCTGTTGAGGGACTGACTGTATGGGTGCCGCCTGTGGTTGTTGTGGAAGTGCGCCCACATTCCAGAGGGGGTCCACCGAACTCCAGCCCCCGGCCGATGGATTCCGGTTATAGTTTGCGCCCGAAGTGTCAGTTCGGGAGCGACTCCAGGCGTCTGTCTGTGCCCTCACGGATGGGTCGCTTCTGTATTGCTGTTGTGCTTCGTTTTGTACCTCAGAGTCGGGTCCGATATCACCCGAAACCTGATACCCATTCGCACCGGCAGTGTATTCAACGACTCTGACATAGGATTTATGTTTATTAGTTCACTGATAGTATGGTATCAATAATATGATAGAAATTGCATTTATAAATGTAAGATCAATGTTAAGGTTAAGAAATTAAATATATCAATTTACCCAGCTGTTATTAATTTCATTATCACTAAAATGTAATTTAATTTATTTATAATTAAAAAGTAAATATAATTTTTTATGACTTTTGTTCTCGTATTACATGTTATATTGAAAGATAATGTAAATAAGTTATTCATAGTAATTAAGTTTTCAAAACTAATAAAACAAGAATTTTATTCAAACTACTTTATAAATTATAACTTATAAAAACCCTTAAAATTATTTGAAATCATAACTACTAACTTACTAGTAATAGAATTTTGCAAATGATAATGTAAGTTTCACAATTAATAAAGGTGCATGTTAAAATAAGTATATTTTTGAAATAATACCTGAGTTTGCCGTTGGGGTCAACATAGCCATACTTTCCGCGGACAGTGCCGTCGTGGTCCCGGTGCTCCTCACGGAACAGCTGAGCCGGTCCTTCACTGCCCGTCGAGTACTTGAAGTCATAGGACGTGGGAATGGCTTCGA